CATGAACAGATTGATTGACAGCTATGACTCAAAATGCAGGGATGCCACAGGACCGTATCTAGCAGTTCCAGGCACTGGGAGGAAGGGCATACAAGAAAAGTGGCCGCAGAGTAATTTATAGGAGCAAAGGTCCACCGCGAGGATAGATCGGTACATGAGGATGGTAAGATAAGGCCGTGGGGAGCTATGAAGAGAATGAGATTGTGCTGGACCCAGGAGAGGACAGGAAGTCTGTGGAAAGCTTTAAGGATGGGTGTCAAATGGTCAGAACCAGAGAAAGGTGGATAGTGTGGGAGCTACAGGGGAGTGGACCAAGGTGCAACGAACAGCTAGGGAGGATTGCCAGAATCCAGGCAAGACTTGATACCATTCAGACCAATAACAGTACTTCCTTTATAGCCTGTTTCTGCTCTGCTGCTGCTGCTGCTTTGGATTTCAATATTAATGTGGTATTAGTAGTGTGTTTGTGCTGGTGTGTTTCAGATTGCTATGGTAGCTCTTTGCTTGCCATTTTTGATGAGGAAACAAAAGAAGATGGGGAACCAGCATACGTGGAAAAATACATATCACCAAAAACCACTGGCTGGAATCAAAAAGTATATAAAAATAAAAGTTTTAATACCAAGTTCAATCTCACAATATAACTAGATAAAGCCAAGGTATTCTTTCAGGAAACAACAATAGTGCAAAGAAATGAAGTCCCAAAAGTCTCAATATGTCTCACTTCTGTTTTATTGTAATTGCATAGTCCAATCTGACGTGCATTCATCATGGAGTGGACTCATTTTATTTCTTGAAAATCCCTATAATCCTGAAATACCATAAGCCATAGAGACGCGTAGTCCAGATGCAAGCGGCTGCGTTTCGAATAATTCTTTTTAAAAACCAATAGGCTACAGTGGGACCCAATCTCACTTCTAGCTACTTGTTGGTACCTGTTGTGGAACAAATGTCCATAGTATACGTGGTGTAGTGGTTAAGATCCGTGGACTCCAATCTGGATAACTGGGTTTGATTCCCCACTCCTTCGCCACACAAAGTCTGCTGGGTGACCTTGGGCCAGTCCCAGTTCTCTCAGAACTCTCTCAGCCCCACCTGCCTCACAAGGTGCCTGTTGTGGGGGAGAGGAAAGGAAAGATGGTTGTAAACTGCTTTGAGACACATGAGGCCTGCTGGGTGACCTTGGGCAAGTCACAGTTCTCTGAGCTGTTCACTCAAAGGCAGTTCTCTCAGAACTCTCTCAGCCCCACCTGCCTCACAAGGTGCCTGTTGTGAGGAGAGGAAGGGAAGGCGATTGTAAGCCAGTTTGAGAGTCCTTAGGGTAGAGAAAAGTGGAGTATAAAAACTAGCTCTTTTTCTTTCTCCCCACAGGGGACTCAGGGCGGCTTAAAACATTTAAATACAATAAATATAATATAAATAAATACAAGTATAAAATGATAAAAGCAATTAAAACATCAGCTTGACAAGTCAGTCTGAATACTAAAGAAGAGTATCTGCAGGTTGCTAAGCACTGTAGGACAGCCATCAGAGAGACCAAAGCTCACAGTGAGCTAAAGCTGTCCAGGGAGGCTCGCTACAACAAGAAAATCTCCTTCAGATATGAGACGAGGAAACGCAAGATAAAAGAGGCAATGGGCACACTGTTGGGTGAAAATGGAGAAACTCTGACAAAAGACAGAGAGAAGGCAGAAAGGCTTAATGCCTATTTTGCCTCAGTTTTTTCCCTGAAAAAGAGAACAGGTTCATCTAGAGATGGTAGTAGGCAAGGCACGACATCCGGTCTGCTGGTTGACATGGACATGGACAAGGTAGTTGAGAAGCACCTGGTTGCATTGAATTGCCGAGCTCTACATCTGGGTAACAAAAATGAGGAACATGCATCTGGATGAAAGGGGAGATACACTTCTGGGTAGCAGTGTGTCTGAACAGGATTTTGGGGTATGAGTGGAC